CATCCCAGTGCCATCTCAGTGCCATCCTAGTGCCATCCCAGTGCATCCTCGTGCCCGGATGCCAAGGCTATGGCAGCCCACCTCACCACGGGAACAATTTGTTCATATTTTGTCAAGCAATAAAAAATGTGCTTTCACAATCAACGAAACTTAGCTGCTAGTTGACTGCACAACAAACACGCCATGGCCAAAATACCGTGTCCAGGAACTTACACATATTTTGAGCTAAATCATCATAAGGTAGTTCGACTGGTGGAAATGGGAGGAAGGCCTTCCCCTGGGCGTTGCCAGCCTGTGCATGTGCATACTCCAGCACCAGCCCATGAGGTACCACTAGCCTGGGAAAGACAAGGCGGTGACCATGGCCATGCACGTAAGAAGCTCTCGGTGCAACTGCCACTGAATATTTCACAAGCATGCCATAATCACTTCTGGGACCACAAAGGTAGCCACAATTGCAACTGGCAATCGTTACTGTCACTGTTTCATTGAAGTTGAGTTAGTTACACATTTCCAAAATTTACCTCCAGCCAATCTCGCAATTTTCAATGTGCTGCAAATGGGTGTTGCTTGCAACACTGAAAGTCACCCTGCCTTGCATGCAAAAAGGTCCGAGCGCCCAACACATTGGCAGCAGCTTGCACTTCCTGAGACGGCTGCCACGACGCCTGCACGGCAGCGCCGCTGATACAAGTACATGCAAAATCCCACTTGGTGAAAAGCTATTTGCATTTGAGTACATTTAACATCCAGTGGACGCTAAGGGGAGTCGTGGACAATAGGAAATTACAGAATTGCATAAGAACCCCAGAAAAAGCAGGATCAACCAGGAACAGCTTGGGGGGCTGCCCCCCATGCCCCTCATGCTTTCAGCCAAGAAGCAACAGTGTGGCCGCAGTTGCGCCCATTTCCAGCACAGAGTTTTGGTGACTTGATGTTGCTGGGCGCAGTTCCGTGGACAGGGACGCAAACAAGGCCTTTTACGCCAGCGGCTCGAAGGGCAACACGTTGTGGTGCAGTCTGTAAAAATTGGCGATGGATGCTCGACGGTGATTGGCAGCCTCTAGAGATCGGTGAACTACAATTGCCAGCCCGTCGGCTCCAGAATCGGCAATCGGCACATGGAGCGACGAAAAAGGTGCACCAAGGAGGGACACGGTGACTGGGGGCGCGAACCGGGATGGATACTATTATGACATATTAATATATTTATGGACATTAGTAATAACCATATTTTTATGGGAAGCGTATTCGCACTATCGCACATTGGAATCATGCGCAGCTGGCGGGGCCATTGGAAAGCGAACCTTCAGTTATTTTGTCAAAGGTAAGACCGGCAGTTGGTTTGCGCGGATGGCGTGGTCGGGAGTGGGTAAACGTATCTGGCACCGCATCTGGCCCTGGCACGCGGCGTTTTACAGATTGGATGCAGGAAGCAACGATTTCTGCTGTAATCTTCAACGTTGCATGTACCCCCTGCAATACCTGCCCGTGGGCTCTGTCTCGCAGCCTGCTTCCATCGAGAATATCGCAAGTGACAACATGCAGCGATCATAATGCACGCTTCGGCCCTTTGTTGTCGTTTCCTTTTGTAATATCGGTGAAGCTGCCCAGCCAACGGGATGGAAGAAAATCACTTCAGTAGCTGCAGAGTTCAGCTCAATACCTTTGGGGCAAAATTGGCAAATTCATCCGTTGAAGGCTTGAATCAGAAAACAGTCCACTGCTATGTTGCCTGCAGCGATGTTTTCGCTCGCAATATTTTCCAGATTCAGCTCAAAGCGATGCTCGCAATTCGGCCACAGCCGGGCGGATACTGACCATCGGGATATGTACAGGGACATATGTCGATGGCGCCCAGCCCTGGAAGCAACTTTTCCAGGACTTCCATCCAAAAATTCTACAAAGCCTGGAGAATGGCTCTAGTCTACACGACGCAGGTGCTAAAGACACAAGCGCGCTCCGCGAACTGAGTGTCACTTTCTTTATTGACTATTCTAGGGTGCTGACTACTTTCTGAACAAGAAGCCGCGGCTGAAGTCCCAAAAGTTACTTCAAGCATGGAATTCGTGTTCTGTTCATACACCTAGCACTCTCCTCCTGGTGAAACAGTCCTTCGATCTTGCCTGATGCAAATCAATTCCAGGCACTCAGGGCAAACAAAATCTCAAGTTACCCTTTTACTTCCACCCTACTTCCCACAGGATTTCTAGCTTGTTGCTTCTTTCTCATTTCCTATCCCACCTAACCTTTGGGCTGACAATGCTGGCGTAACTCCCTCCTGAAGGTCATCGAATTATGTCGCGGATTTCGCCTCTGTTGCAGACACAGAAATGGGCCGCTTCAGCTCGGAGTGTATCCCATGTTTGGGATATTTGTCCGGCGCAAGCATCGTGGGGACCAATGTAAAGTGATGAACGAAGCAGGGAAGCGCATTGCTGACAAAATAAGAATCTAATAAAGACAGACGTGCCAATCTCAGATTTCAGAAAAGCGTCAGATTCTGTGTTTCAGATTTATTTGCAGCGTCGCTTTTCTCATATGTTTCCGCCCAATGCCCCTGTCCCACTCCCTCTTCCTTCCCATACGCGCATTCAGATCTCCATGAGCCCCATTTACCCCTAAATCCAACTTCCAACTTGGAATCTCAATCCGTTGTCCCCACAATTTGCAGTTGCTGACCATGGCACTCGCGCAGCGTCTAAATTTCGTCCCATTTTCGCCATCTACTCATTTTTCATTGCCGTATCCCATTTTCGTGCTTCCCCAAAGGCTCGATAAAAAGCAAAACATTCGGCTGCTGAAAGTTACCCCTACCCACCCCATTGCACACTCACAACAAATTGATTATCCTTCAATCTAAATAATTGTAGTAGACCATGTAGCAACTAATATCATGGCAGCAACGCCTTTCATCTCGTGTCGACAAATGACGCCTCTCTGGAAAACGACTACAGACAATTTTATGCATTTTACTTTGACATCTCCAGATGCTGTGAATCCAGGAAAACTATACTGGGACTGGTGGTCTTCATGAATGCGAATAATGCCACATAAAACAGAGCAGTGCTGGTCGGGTGCACAAGGTTGGTGATCAATTCCACAACACCACATGTGGTTGTACAGCTCCCCTCCGCTTTTGAAATGCACTGGATTCCACGCAAGTTCCGATGGTGGACACAGCGCAAACGCGCGATTCGACCCGACCACGTCGCAACCAACCATGTGCTCTCGGCCCCTTCTCCTTCGCAAGGCGTCGCAGCAGCGGCTGGGCGGCACCGCAGTCCGGCCACGAGCCCGACGTTGTCTCAAATTTCCAACGGGCGCCGTACGCAATGTAGACGTAGATGGCCACCGTGGACACCACCCTCAGAGCTCGGATGACGGGGCCGACCGCCGGCGGCGCCCCAAGACCCTCCAGCCACTTCAGATTGGCCAGGGCGTAGGGCAGCGCGATGAAATCCACCGCCGTGTAGGCGGACACCGCGGAGTAAAGCGAGCAGAGAACCATTGAGGTCTCTGCCCACCGCCTGTCGTTCGCGGCGCCTTTGCCAATCCCCACCGTAGCCAGCGCAAGGGGGTAGGCGGCCAAACCGTAGCTCAACAGGTCCAGGTCGCAGAGAGCGAAGGTAATTGCGTCACACCAGTGGCGCACGGGCGAAATTTCCTTCGACGCTATCAGCATTGCCACAGTGAAAATGTGGAAGCAAGCTGCGGCGGAGGAGATGAGCCACAGGAGAGCGCGCCCTGGGCGGGGCGCAGCAGTAGTATACAGGGCGAGGACGATGACGTAAAGCAGCCGGTGGCAGAGATCGGAGGCGTAGAGAGGAAGCGCCCACGTGCCGGGCGTCCCGGCGGCGTCCACGGACCGCAGATAGCCGGCCTGCGCCCCGCAGTGCAGCGCCTTGGACGCGGCGAGGAGGATGACGGATGCCTGGAGCGGGCGCATTCCGTGGTGGTGACCGCGCCAGAGGGTGGTCCGCCACGCGGCGAGGAAAGAGAAGGCCAGCGACAAGACCTGTAGTCACGGGCGGAGGCAAGTCGGAACACAACCCCACAATACTCTATATTGTTATTACTTCCAAGTATTGTTCCAAGTATGGCTCCTAGTTTATTAGTTGATACTTCCAAGTATTCTTACAGGCACAAAGCTGTGCAGCGTCATTAGGCAAATCATTCTATTGAAATTGCAATGCCTCAAAGCGACGGTGTGCAATGCAACTGTGCAACCTGAAAACTGGTCACATGTTCCCATTTTCTGCAGTCCTCTTTGTGCGGTATTGGGTATTTTTGGGATTTCAATAACTTTGCAGGATTCCGGCTGTTATCTCTTGGGCAATTTGTGGGCTGATTGAGGCGCATTCGTACATAACGATACTACGATGTCAGCGAGGATTACGGCGCTGCCGCCGCAGGTCGTCTTGAATGCGCTGCAACAATGTCTTTCGTTGAGCGGGCACGATCGCGCTTGGACGCTTTCGTTGATGTCTGTCAATGGCGCCCTTTTGGCCTTCTTTGCCTTTTGCTTCTCATGCGCCTGATTGACGCTCGCGCTGATGCGCCGAGACGATATCGGCGATGCGTGGTGTCGACCAGCCAAGGCTGACACGCAGAAGACGACAGTATTAGAGCGCGCCCTGCTCCAACGAATCGGCACAGCATGGGAGAGAGGCACGGCAAAACAGGAGCAAACTGCTGACGCCAATTCCATTGGTTCCCGCGTCATAATCTTGATCGATCTGAAAAAACATGCAACTCGGGCCTCCGCCAGTCCGACGTCGACGCCAATGCCGGCGAAGGGCCCAAACTGACACCCCGAGCAACGCCGGTCGACACGCGCTGTACCGGTGACGCGCCGCCTGTCGTCCGCCAACACCCATCTCGAGAGCGCCCCATGCGGCCCCCCCAGCCTCCGCTCGAGTTCCCTGACGACCTGCCGTGCCCCCCTGCCAAACATGCGCCCCATCCTGCGGGCCACCACATAGGCGGCGACGACTTGGTCAAGAATGGCATCGCCCTGGCCGCATGCGGCTCACCATGAACAGCTCCGGGGAGCCCGCATCTCCCGCGGACAGGTACCGGACCCCGCCGCCCTCCCGCCCGTTGAACTCCGAGACTGTCACCCGGAACGACGCCTCCGTGCCAGCCGCGCAGTTGGCGAAGTACAGCGCGTGCTCGCCGTCCGGCGCCGACACCGTCGTCCGGAACCCCACTCCGGGATCTTGCCCCGACACCTGTCGCGCGATCTCAGGGATGTCGAACCGGAACAGCACCGACACTCCCGCGGAGGCCAGCGGGCATCCCGGGGGGCGGGACGCATAGAAGGGGCAAGAGAACGCCTCTCGGCGCTCTGGTACCGCCACCACGCCCATGCGGGCCAGGGCGGCCGCATCTGTGAGGAAAGTGGAGTCCGATGAATTTGGCGCGCCCAGAAGACGGAGCGCCAGGCCGGTGAGCTCGAAGGAGATGCCCCCGCGGGGGCCGAACTCGAACGGCCGCTCGAGCATGACCAGCGGCCTGGCATCTGGGGGCACCTCGCGGCAGGCGATGGCGCCGGAGGTGACCTTGGCGGGGATGAGCGCCAGGAGGGCCAGGAGGGCGCCGTGGAAGGCCATGCCTAGGGGTCGGGTCATGCCCGCGCGCCAGCACGCAGCCCGCGCCCGAAACCGTCGTGCCGACTCTTGCGGCTCTTGATGCAGCGGAGGGGCAGGGAAGGGTGGGCCTTGTAGGGCAGGGCTTGGGCCTGTGCTGGTGCCCGGCCCCGCGGGTTTGACGTCCTTGGACGGAGAGTGCCGTACGTTGTGCAGGGGGGGGGTCTGTCGGCCCTGGTGGCCCCAGGGGTCCAGTACAGCCTAAGCTTACCCCGGGCTTCAGAAGGCTTCGGCAGTCGGGGTTGTGCTCGCGCGGTGCGGGCCGGCGCTGGTCGCAGTCGCCTGCACAGTCACCGGGCAAGGGATGACGCATGTCCGGCGACTGTAAGTGGCCCCCGGTCTTGCAGCGCAATGCGCTGTTCCAGTGTGTTCCCATTTCTTCCACCGTTTGGTATATTTGCGCGTTGACAAGCAACATGTCGGTGTTAGAGAAAGGCCCACATTGGAGGCTTTTCATGTGGTGATGGGGTGGATATGATACAAAGGACATGAGAGAGGCCTCTCTCATTTCTTCACGGTCCCCTAGGGAACCGTTGTAAATCCCAACGTGGCCAACAAAAAGCATGTTCAAAACTAATGAGAGTTGAAGTGACTAATACTAAATTGGAGAATTCAAGCGAACAAGACGTTTCACCTATACAACTACTGTTGAAATTTATGCTTCATGATGTCAAACGAAAAGAAGCATCGGAAACCATGGCAAGGAACCATCGTTTTGGCCACTTTGTAGTTGAAATATTGCCCCAAGCATCGAATAGGATATGGGCACCGTGTCTTAGTATATGATGAGGACTTGTGTGTGGATAACGGTGTGGTCATGTTTTGGATATGTGTATCCAAGATATGCAACTTTGCCCGACGTCCTTGTTAAGCGATTGTGAAAAACGTTCCATACATGCTTATTTTGGGACTATAAAACAACTTGTGACGATTGGTTGGGGTGCTGGCCACTGTGGCCGGCTCCCCAAAGATTATCATATTGTGCCAAACTATGATAAAATTCCATATTGTGAAATTGAGGCGAGTCTGGTGATTGGTCTGTTAAGCTTGGAAGCTTTCTAAAAGCATATCCTTGATGCAAAGCCTTCCACTGCTTGATAACAAATTTCTTATTCAATTGAGTGTGAGCTTGGAGCCATCTTATGTGGGGGCACGGGGGGTGAATGCTCTTTGAACTTATCAGGCGTGCCTCCCAGGGCTTGTCGTTGTGTGTCTTCTACTTCAACTCGAGTCCGTGCACTTAACTACTATGGTGGGGACTAGCGCGTCGCTAGCGTTGAAGCTTTATAATGACATGTGCTATAACTATCAATTAGTTATGACCATATCACGGTGAAAGCACCCGACCCCATCCTCACGTGAGGGCGCCGATCGTGCTACAGGTCATGCAACACACTGACCACGGACGGGACGCAGTTGCAGTTGCTTTGGTTAACACTCGATCAACATTTTGGCGCCACCCTTGGTGGCTTTCTTGGCGGCCTTCCTGGGCAAGATTCCACCAACCTGGCAGCTTGTTGCGCCCTCAAATCCCTGCCGCTTGCTTGGGTGCTGCCTCCATGTCGTGTCATGGTGCTACCGCTGTGTCCTCTTCCGACTTCAATGAGGCGCTTGGCGAGCTCCGGTCCTCTATTTCTGACCTTGCGGACACTCAGAACCGTGCAGAAGGCCAGCTCGACAAGGTTTTGAAGCGCCTTGAAGACCTCTTTGCATGTTGGGATTCTGCCGTCACCCGCCTTGACAACGAGCTCGCTGCCCAAGGCGGCCACCTGGACGCTCTGACCTAACGGGTCACTATGGGTTCCCAATGCTATGAAGGCCAAGACGCCCAGCTTGACTCTCTTGAGAGGCATCAGTGGCCTCCCTCGCTGACATCAGTGACCAGGTCCAACACCATTCCAACATCGTGGTCCTGCGATTCCCAGAGGTGGCTGGCAAAGATTCTGCTGCCCTCCGTATTGGCCTCCTTGCTAGCATGACCATGCTCTGCCAAGCAACTAGCAGTGACCCCGCCACCCTCCCTGTCTCTATTGTTGCGACCCTATAGTGGGGTCGGCTGGGCAGGCCGTCTGGTTGGGCATGGCCCGTTCTGATTCGCTACTGCAATGACACTGACGCCTAGCTCATCTTGTTGTGACGTCGCCTCATCCATTATGTGACTGATGGCTTTGTGCCACCCACAATGATGCTTCTTCCGAACTTGACAAAGCGGCAACAAGACTACAAGCATGCTGCCGTACCTGCCTAACTAGCTGCTCAACATGCATCCAATGTGGAGAAGTGTTACTTTCGACACTCTTGGGAAATATACATTGTGGGCCAGCCAAAATTGTGGGCCAGCCTGCCTTGGAGGTGAATTCTGGGTGATTCTTCCTAGCGTCCCTATTTGGATGTGGCTAATAATGGTACTCCCATGGATGTCGCTGATGATGTGCCTGTTGTGAGGGCTGCGACTATTCTTACTACGCAAGCTCTTGTCCTTACAACATCCCAATCTGTGTGGGGCTAGCAATCCACTGCCTTATCACCCATCATTGTTACTTTTTTGACATGGAATATTCGGCAATTTTCTCTATTGAAAGAGGCTGATTTTGCATATGTTCTTTGTCGTTCTTCATTGATGGGTGCTCAAGATATTGGGGCTCTTGCTTCCTTTCCCACTTTTGATGGTTTTTCAGCTTCTCCTCACCCTCGTCGCTCTTTCACGGGTCAATGTGGTGGGGTTGGAGTTTGGGCTTTGTATTCTTCTCTATTTGCTACTCAATTTCTGGGCTCTGACCTTTCTTCAAATGAACGTATTTGGACACAACTTTTTTGTGGTGGGTTCACAGTCTTTGTGGCAGTTTGTTATTTGCCCCCTGCAAGCTTGACATTCTCTAGCTCCTTTTCTGGGCCACAGTTGGGTGATAAAGTCTTGCATTTTCTCAATGTCGGTGAGCTTTTAGTCTTTGAAGACTTCAATGCTCAAGCGGGTGCTCTGGCTGACATAGTGGATAATTTTGAACCCTTGCCTTTCCGTCATTATGTTGATTTTACTACCAATACTAGTGGGCGTCGCTTAATTGATTTCTGCCATTTGACAAGTTTACGTATTTTCAACAGGCGTGTTCCAGGTGACCCTGATGGGAGTGCTACATGGTGTCATTCTTGCCTTTCTCATATTTCTCAGATTGACCTGTTTTTGGGCTCTCCGGGACTTTGACGACTTTCCCCATCCATTGGGCTTTTTCCTTTTAGTGAATGCTCTGATCGCCGGCCTCTTGCACTTACACTAGCTTTTTCCCCTTTTCGTTGTTCCTCTGCTACCTCTACGGCTCCTCATCCTCTTTCTCAATTTGTTGGGGACAGCCTTATGTTGAGGCGTTTGGGGATCATTTTCTGCTATCTTTGGCGGTTGTGGTAATGTGGTTAGCAACCCGTTGGCTTCTTGCCTTGCCGAGTGGAGCTCAGACCATTGCCAAAGTCGTGGAGGCCGTATGCGGAGCAAAGCGGAGCAGGCCGGAACGACTTGGGCGTAAGGGCCGAGCATAGCGAGGTCTTTAGCCGGGAAACGGGTTCGGCCAAAATGGAGTTTCTTAATAAAAACAATGACTTTCATTATTTGGCCACCACATGTAAGAGCGCCAGGCGGCGGCGCCGATTGTAGTTCAATTGTTCTGGAATGCCTGCCTCCTTGCCTCCTCGAGTGCAGCAGCTGCATGCCTCGGATGGGACCGCACAGAGCGGCCATCACTTGAGGGCCAGAGAGAGCCCGGGACATGCCGTCCGACCAAGGACGACCACGCTTCTACCGGAGAGGCCCTAGAGCGCGGGCCAGGGTACCTGGACGCGGCCAAGGGGGGACCACGCCGACAGCAGTTCGTTCTTCTCAAACTTCTCAAAGTGGTGATGTTCAGGCCTTGGAGCATTTTTTCTTAAAGCAATTCATCATTGTGCATTCTGGCGGCTCTGCTCTGAGCTGGTCTCTTCTTCACGAAGGAATTCATGGTTTGATTTGGATTGTTGGGCTGCCCGTCGCATTTATCGTCATTTTCGTTGGCTACTTCGGCCAGGGCCCCTTCTGAACTATCATCGCAATCAATACTTTTCTCTCCTTCGTCGGAAGAGAGTGTGGTTTCGCCGTGCCTTCACTGCCCGACTTCAAGCTTTATACAAGACCAATTTGGATGCCTCCTTTTGGACATTTTTCTTGGACAAGGACTCTGCAGGCGACTTCCTTTCTCTCAACACTTGGTATCAGTATTATTCGGCCATTTTCTCTTCCTCTGACCTTGCCCTTCCTTCTGACTTCCGGGCAGTTTATTCTATGTGTGGCTCCTTGGTGGCTTCTGAGAGCTCGCTGCCTTCCTTTCCCTATGCAGAAGTGTCTGCGGCTCTCTCTCAGCTTCGCATGTCAGCCTCATCTGGTTGGGATTCGTTGCCTTCTTCCTTTCTTCGATCTCCAGCCCTTCTTCCTTGGCTGGCATCCTTCTTCAACTTGTGCTGGTGCCGCCTAGACTTTCCTCATGATTGGCTTGAGGGGCGGCTTCGCCCTATCTTCAAAAAGGGTTGTACTTCAGATCCAGCGAATTATCGTCCGATCACTATTTGCACTTCGCTTTACAAGCTTTATGTCTACTTTCTGATGGGCCGCTTTCTTCCTTTTCTGACTACCGCTCGGTCGTCCTTTCAGGCGGGTTTTTAAGAGGGCTGTCGATGCTCTGATTGGCTTTTTGTCCTTTGGCACTTGATCTTCATTGCCAAGACTAGACGACGTCCATTGTATCTTCTGTTCTTGGATCTTCGCAAGGCCTATGATTCTGTGGGTCACCCTCATTTGTGGCGCACTCTCCTTGATGCTGGAGTTCCTTCTCGGTATGTGGATATGCTTCGGGTTCTCTATCTTCACACTTCTGTCCGTGTGACAGCTACTGCTGAGTTGTCTGCCCCTTTTCCTCCTCGTTGTGGTGTGAAGCAAGGATGCCCGGCCAGTCCTTCTCTCT